GATAAAGAGGAGACATTCTGTAGCTTTGAGTCATCAGCAAACAAAAACAGGTGAGATGAATCGATAACATCTGGTATATCATTCACAAAAACAAGAAAAAGGAGTGGTCCTAAGATACTCCCTTGAGGTACACCAGACCTAACAGGTAACATTTGAGAGGAGCAACCTTCAATCTCTACAAAGTGCATCCTCTGATTTAGATAATCCTTAAACCAGCACCAAAGAGGACCAGTGATACCAAGCATCCATAGCTTATACAGTAGGAGCGAGTGGGGGACTGAGTCAAAAGCCTTGCTAAAATCGAAGTAGACCTGATCAGTTGATTGACCACTCTCACAGTTCCTCATTATGTTGTTGTAAGTTATAAGTAGTTGAGAGACAGCTGAGCGACCTTTGAGAAACCCAAATTGGTGACGACAGAGAAGATCACTTAGAAATGGAATTATTTTAGCGTATATGATTGATTCCAAAACTTTAGATAGGATACATAACAGAGAAATTGGTCTATAGTTTTCTACATATTGAGTATCTCCCGCTTTGAAAACAGGTGTTATCTTGTGTACTTTCCATTCAGACGGTACAATCCCATACATAAGAGATTCATGGAAAAGTTCCGTTGTGTTGGCACTTTAGAGATAGCTGGTAGCATTTTTCAGTAGATTAGAACATGGCCTTCAAATAATATGAACAGATTTCTCTAAATCTTACTTGATGAAGAGTTATACTTACTTGAAATTGTTGAGGTCGCTCGTTTGTGCAGCGCTAGAGCAACAACTTGCTGGGTTATAGGCACTAAAGTACCTATACTATCTCAAATATACAAAGGCAGCAACTTTTTTTGTCAGCAAGTTTATCATATATTGCTGATTAGTAAGGAAAAAGTGAAGCTTCTTTCTCACACGGTCTTCTTGCTGCCAATCATTCCAGTATGATGGAATGCCACACCTTTCAATCTACATGCATGGGAGGGGCTGGAACAGGTTTGTGCATTCCGAGCAGTTTGATTACACTTTTCCTTGTTGTCTGTGATGCAGTTGCTGTTAACGCCATGAAATGTAAATGTGATGGAAAAAATCCTCGTAAATCTCCCAGCTTACTAAACTCTTTTCTAAAGTTTGAACCCCTATTAATAATTATATTAAATGTTACACTGAAATAGAATCAAAAACCTTACCATTTTTTAACACAGTGTGCTTCATCTATAACAATGGCGATCAATCTTTCTGTAAGTGATGCACTTTGAAATACATGAATCCAATCTTTATTTTGAAGTAACAGCTCTGGTGTGGTAAATACTACCTGATATCTACCGGAGACAATTCCCTGCTTTGTTTCTTCATCTTCTCTCCCCATAACACTGACAGCTGTCATACCTTTATCTTGTAATGACTTGACCTGATCTTTCATCAAGGCTTGTAGAGGGCTAATTACTATCTCGACAAACCAAGGAGAGCTGTGTCCTTGGAGAATATCATATACTAGTGGCAGAATAAAGTAGCATAGTGACTTCCCATATCCTGTTGGGAGGCAAGCAAACACGTCCTTCCCTTCCAAGAATGATCTAATCACATATCTCTGATCTTCCTTTACTGTTTCGTATCCTAGCCTTCTACCTGCTGCATCGATAGCAGAATCAAGAGCAGAATCCATGGGCACTGCATTAGCAGCCATTTTATTACAGTTATAGTCACACTACTATCACCTGACAAAGTTACTTCCACGTGAGTGCTGCAATCTGATTGGGACGCTCAATCCTGTGCTTAGTGCCACAAATTCTGTAGCAGTGTCACCAGACTCTTCTGCGCCACCCCCGCGCAACGAAGAGGCGGGGCCAGACTACGAACGGCCGGCCCTATAGAAGGGTCGTTACTAAAATGCGGAACGTGCGGAACACTACGAAGAATGCGGAACAAGTGATACGGAACGTACACAGACGTATGCGGAGCGAACGCGTAGCGTTCTGCAGAGTGTCTAGAATGCGGAACAGAACCATAGACTATCATAAACTAGATATAATACAAAA